CTTTGAACTTTTTAAGGACGCCAATTCTATATCGTTGGACAACGTTGGGAGACATGATGCTTTAAAGCTGTTTTTTGGGTTTTTTTTAAAAAGAAGCACAATTTTTTGTTATTCATGTGGACGGTTGGAGGGCGCCACTGGTGGTTTCTACTTCTTTACTTCCCCACTGTTTTTGCCTCTTACTTACTTACTTTTTCTCTGTACGTGTGACATATTTAGTGGAGCGATGTACTTCTCTTTACTCAAACAAACAAAGTGTACGTTCTCTTGTAGCCCTTTGAGTACGCCAATTCTAGTCATTCGACTTCATGGGTGGTTGGCGGGTGCTCTGGTGTGGTTTGCTTCTTCTTTCCTATCAAACATCTATCGTCCATATCTCCCTTCCTTCTATTTTGTGTTTGTTACTCTCTTGTAACACCTCCAATCTTCGGCACTTATATGACCTTATTGTGTTGCAAGTGCCGTAAAAATCTTGCTGAAAGTTTGTTTTTTTTTAAAATTCTACTACGCATGGGGTCGTCCTGCTTTAGAGTACTTACTAACAGAAACATTTATAGCCTTTGTTATTCACACAGATTTGGGTTTTTTTTTAATTTTATTTTTCCTGTAATTGAAAAAGGCAGGCAACGACAAGCATCTGTTTTTCATTTGACCCTTACATAAGTGCCCGCTGCGTCTCAAAGAGTTAGGGGTTTTATCTGCTTGAGCATATTAAACCTTTCCGCCTGTCTCCGCACACACAGTGTTGTGCTGTACTGTGTTGTTGTCTCCTACTGGGCCTTGTAACGTAATCTCGTTCAGGAAACAGTGTCAGAGCTCGATATGTTATTCATTGACTGTGTCAGGGTTGAAGTGACCTAATGGAATATCATGTATAACATAAATAATTCAAAAGATTTTGTTGTTTGTAGTTTACTTTTGATTTATGTAGAATGTTTGTGTAAGTACTGTTTGTCTCTCTTCTGTTTGTGCTGTGTGTTTGTTTGTCTGTCTGATTGTCTATTAGTCTGTCTGGCTGTCTTAGTGTCTGTCTGACTGTCTGTCTGTCTGTGATCGAGACGGGATCTACAGATGTTTGAAGGTGAAAAAGCTCTTTGGGTTGTATTAAAAGAGGGGTAATGGGAACGTCTCTCAAAAGACGATGAAGCAAAGACAACTGATACCGCTCAGACCGAAAACTGCCCGCCAGACACAGAGACTGATACAGACAGGTGAACAATCGGATGGACGGATGGACTGACGGACGAATGAGTGAATGGATAAACTTCCTCCCAGTTGTCAGTGGATTTTTTTTTCTAAAGTAGTGCCTGGATAAGCCCGATAGTGTGAAAAGTGCGGACTGCAGAGTCCGGGCAAGGCTTATCCTCTCCCAGAGGCTGTCGTCGGCGGCTCTGTGTGGTGCTGGACAAATCCCTGTAATTGTAGGTTGTCGTCGTTTTACAAACCACCCGGTCCAGGTTTGTGGAGCGGCATAAACTGCCCATCCCGTCTCCCAAGCTCCTCCTACCTACCCCCTTTTCCCTCCACCTTCTCACTCCATTCTCCCACCCCCTCCTCCTCTCATCCCTTTTCCTTCCCCCTCTCACCCCATCACCCCCTCCTTTCTCCCCCCTCCCTTCTCCCCAACCCAATGCCTTCTTCCGCTCCCAC